ATTAAGGTGACCTGAGGTCTCCGTATTGATATCGATGAACTTTTGAAGAGTTCCTAAAATGTGTTATTACTACGCAAAATGACGAACTATTTACCGGGGACCCGAGGTCCTAGTTGAGCGTACGTTTTATCCTTCTTCGATAGACGTGAACTGAGCAGGGGACCTAAGGTCCTAGTTCAGCGTACGTTTTATCCTTCTGCAAATATCGCCCAAAGATATCATACAAAAATAAAAATTTTTTCGGGGGAAAATGAATATATTATTTCAAATTATTAAATTTTATGAATTTTCTTATCTGTGTTCTTGACAAAGGGTTGAATTGAAAATTCAAGTTATGAGTTATCTATGGAGGAATCATTTAATCTATTAACCCCCCCCCCTTCCACCATTTAATCTGTTGATTATTTCAAATGCTAAATTGCTTTGTGAAAACTTTATCGTCAAATCTCAAAAAATAAAACAAAGTTACCACCACCATCCTTAAAAAGGTTTGTTAATAATTACAGTTGCAAATTATATGTGCTCTATGGAGCAATATACGTACATTCTACATTAATATAACGTAAATTCAATTTTCAGTACCATTAAAGAATAGACGCATACGTTCTAAGTTCTACATGTATGCCTAAGCAACAATTTAAATGGGAAAAATTAGGTGCATAATTTAATACATGTATCTCTTGCAAAGCAACAAAAATGGAAATGAATTCAATTTCGAACAGTTTCTTGACACCCAACACCCACAGCCGTCTTTTATCTTTAACCCGATGTGGAAGACCCCCCCCCCCCCTTCATGCAGCGCAGCGCCAATTCTGTGGAATTATATTTCCTACGAAAAATGAATTTTCTTCTTCAAAATGTTTAGCTTGGTATACAATTTATGTGTATATCACGATTTCTTTAAGTTGATGATACACTATCACTTCAAACTAGCAGCAAAATACAAACTTTAAGAAAGTTCTGTTTCCGAATGATAACACGCATTACACTTAAAACTATGCAATATTAACCAATTGCTCAAAATAGAAACATTCGATTATAAAACCACAATTCTATTTTTGAATAATATTATGTCAATTCAGTTTTCAAATCACACGGATGCACAAGATATTGTGTAAAAAAAATGTTCACCTTTGCATGTGCACTTCCATTTGCAGAGCATTTCTGCAGTCTTGTTACAGAAAATAATGTCATTTTAAGAAAAAGTGAATTTCTTCATGTTTTTAGTTTTTTTAAAAATCATTAAGATTCACTCGCAAATCTGTTCAAACAGCTTTAGAATTTAATTTTAATTTACTTTAAAACATGGTAACGTAAATATTGGTAACGTAAATATCGGTAACGTAAATATCTTTCTGAGATTTATCGTAACTTTAAATGCGGTTGTTTAATTATTCCACTGTTAATTAAAGGCATATTCTAGCGCTTGAATGTAAGGCATTTTGACCCATAGGAAACAGTGTAGTTCTCATACATAATTTGTGAATAATTACTAACACGTAAATATCGATGAATTTTTTAACCATTTGACTCATAAGACAAGGGGGGCTATTTTTTATAAATACAGATAAATAGTGTCCTTTTTTACCATTCCATGCAATAGAAGAGGTGTTCATGATGTTAAAAAGTTACAACTTAATCCCACTGAGTCAGTTTAGCAATCCTTCAAGTCCTTTTGAATTTCCAAATAGAAAAGTAATAATTTTGCGGTGACATCAAAATTTGATAAATATATTAACATTTTTAAAAATTTGTGACACGCATATGTGTGAAGGGTGTGATATTCAGAAAATATAACTCAAATGTAGGACAATCTTACTAAGACATGGATATTTAAACGATTTAAAACTTCTTTTTGGTTTAAAATGAAATTATTCTATGATCGGCGACAGTAACGTAAATATCGATTTCTGCATGCTGTAAAATGCGATTTTCGCCTAAAACAATCATTCAAGTTACAACAAACAATTATTGTATTTTAATCAACAACCAATAATGGTTCATATGACTGGCAGAAAATAAAGTTTACTAGAAATATTATATTACTTAAAACACGGTACATTATTTAAAGCGAATTGAGACTATAATTTGAGAATCAGTGGTAAACATATCCTTCAGCAGTATTACAGCTCATTACTTTCTATAATATTAATGCAGCTCACGGTCATTTACACTGTAAATCTGTGCATTGTAGAATAAATTTTAAGGTACACTGTATATTTCTTAATGTCAATGGTACCAAATAGAATTCTTGGATAAAATTATTCTTACAATGTATACACACAGTACTATACATATATCCAAAAAAAAAAATACGTGGATTTTTCAATGACTCCTGTGACACAGGACTTCATTGAAAAATCCACGTACTTTCTTTTTAGGATATCTGAATAGTACATTTTTTTTTGAAGAATGGAAAGGTACAATTCATTACATGTGCCATATTAAAGTAAACGAATTATAATTAAATTCTCTGAGTTCTAAACTTTAATGTAGCAAATGTACGTTTCCAAAATCATTAAAAAAATTTATATTGCCAGATGAATAGAGCAATAATTTGTTGTCTCAAGTTTTCGAAGAAAAGTAGGTCGAAACAAGATGTTTTTGTGAAACAAACATTGATGTCCCCATATGTCAGCTTTTGGCGAGGGTTTAAGTTTCTCAAATGCATGTCGAACTCCAAGATCAAGAGATCAAAAATGTTGTTACCCAAAGAAAGTACTTAGCTTAATGAATATGCCTATGAAATATGAAAGTCCATGCACTGAAATTTATAGCCAAGATTAACACTTTTTAATGTGGGTCAAACTCCAAAGTTAAGGTCAAAGGGTCTAATAAAAGGACCAAACAGAAGGCCTTAATTGAATTAATACCCTATCACCAACTATTTAAAAGTTATGGACAAGGTTTTCAAAAGAAGTCAAACTCATGATCAACGGTCAAGATTAAAAAGTCAAAAATATTTATATCCATGGAAAAGTCTTGCCACAATGAATACACGTGTGATGAATGAAAACTCTTAACACCAACGTATTCGATTGATTGTTTATTGTTTAACGCCGCTCTCAAGAATTTTTCACTCTTATGGAGACGCCACCACTTGCAGGTGGATGGCTTCAAATTCAGACCTATACTAGGCCATTGAGCAGTACTCTTTCTCGTGCCTGCACCTAACTTCTGCGACATGGAACCTCGGTTTATACAGTTTCGTTCGAATCCGCGGCCCAAGGATCAACTCCTTATCCCGCGACTCCAAAGCAGATGCTATAACCACTGCGCCACGCAGGCGATTCCAACTGTTCTACTCGAAAGTTCTATTGGCCAAGAGTTTGGTAAACTTTTACAGAAGCTGGTCAATCTCCAAGGTCAAGAGGTTAAATATGTTCATACCCATAGAAATGCATGTCACAAGGAACACACAAGTGAAATATGAAAGCCATAGTTCCAACCAATCAAAAGTTACAGACAAAATTAGTTTTTGCAGACGAAAAGCTAGAAACAAAGAGAGACAGGCATACAGATGGACGGGGGAAAACTATATACCCTCAATCTTCGATTACGGGGGCACAAAAAATTATGTTTACTAGTAATTCTGCAGTCAACCAGATAATCCGATGGTTTAAATGTCGTGATATTAGGTATGTTTTTTTTTATCGGTGATTTCAACTCAAAATGCAGTGTGCATTTATACTGAAAGGAAGAAGAAACGCAGGGTAGCATAATATTCGAATTTTTTTTTTTTGACCGTATGACCGAAAATTACAAAAATTGGTCAGTTGAGAAATTAAGTTACTATGCACCAAAATCTGAGTTCAGAATTACTCAACCGTAAAATGTATGACGTCACGTTGGGAAAACGCTAAAAAGCCCAAAATATGGTGCATTTTGATGACGACGAGTTTGTCAACAAATCTTGTTGTACCATTTGATGCACCCGAGTTGTACACATTGTTTTACAATATTTAGAAACGATATGAATTTCTTGCAATCTTTGTACAGTTTACGGAAGTTTCATGGGGTCTGGTTTTCGAAATGCCTAATTACTGAAAAAGGCAACAACGGGCAATAACTAAGCCGTTTCTTATAAATCCCCCCCATAAAACTTGTTACCCGTTGTGGGAGAGGGCCTGGAATTGTTTTTAATCAACCGTGACGATGATAATAACGCGAAACAGAGTCATGTTACGAATGGGTTATTCGTCCTGCCATCTCTTAAATCGCCACCTTACTGCCACAAAAAAAACGCCTTTTATACAGTAGACTATTATAATCATTACATTCACATGAAAAATGAAAGAAAACAATTCCGCAATTTGGTTTTGACCTCACCGGCGCATGCCAAAAAGTTTTTTGCGTGGTTACCCATGCCCAATATAGCCAGGATTTGAAAGATGAACACTCTGATGAATTCCATGCAAAAGAGAAACAAGGCTCAGGACAGATGCGCGGGAGAGACATTGAAGATAATGAGAGCTCTCAATTTTCACTTTTGGGGGGTACTGTCATATGACCTATGATAACTGATGAATTATTATACAAAATCAAATGGGATTTTGGTTATCTTTTTGAAAGTTTATTTTAAAAGTTAGATAGGAATACTGAAAAAATTAAAAGAAAAAGAAATTTAATTCACTTAAAAAGTTTACCCTGCGTTTCTTTTTCCTTTCAGTATATTTAAAAAATAATAATCAAACGAAGTATGCAAGCCTGAAGTGAGTTGATCTAATATCAATAGGTCAGAACAATGCTGCCTTACACTATTAGGTGATAATTTAGAACAATATTTACAATATACATATACATCTTTGTTTAAAATATAAAAGATACAAAGGGCTTTATTTATACTAAACGGTTTCTTCCGATCAAGAACACAGCGTGTATTTTTCGACCAAATCTATTTTCTGACTGCTTTTTGTGCTCTCATGACAACATACTAGTATTTTATTTCTTTATTAAAAAATTTGAAATTCTACCATAAAGCATTCATTATAGAATAAAAACTTTAAAAACAAAGGATAATACGGTGAAAAAGGCAACATTCTGCAAAGTCAGCCGACAGACAGCTTAACTGTATTGTCCGTGTGCATACGGACTACCACTGACTTTCCCCTGTATATATTGCGCAGCATCTTTGTTCGCGTATCAGACTTTAGCCTGAGACCACATTAAATGATGTATCGACTGCTGTTGGCTGTGGTGGGTTTAGCTAACCTTCCTTATATTCGCACCTGTTGCTCCCCAGATGTTCTCCAAGGCAATGCCATGTATTATGGATATATGGTCGAGGAAAAGAGTCTTATCAGGTACGATCATATGTTTTAAAGATAGTACATTTTAATATTTTGATATAGGGCTCAATGTTTAATTTTGTAAGTTCAATATTGGCTTTAAAATAAAATTCAATCTTATGTAATGATATCAGTTTTGTATCATAAAAGAGCTCTATAATATTATATTCACTCTTAGAGCAGTTTAAAATTAAAGGTTTTTGCTTTTAGAATATGGTAAAATTTTACTACGATGCGGATAAAAAGAAAATAGCAACGATAACAACCAATATGGGGAACAGGACAGGACAGGTCAGAGATATATACGACTTCGCCGCAGGGAAACGTTACGTCATAACCGACAACAGCTCCTGTAACGTCACGAAACTGAAACGTTCCTTCGAAAAGATCTGCGTTCCGTCTAGCGCAAAGTTTATGGGTTCCGCTGACCTCGGAAACAGCGAGGCCAAAATGAGCGTCGATATGTACAGATTGAAAGTTAAAAAAGGTAAAATGTCTGGCGAGGCGGACATAATGGTGACGCCGATGGACGGTGGGAAGTGTACCTTGGTAGGAGTAGTGATGAGCGGGGGAAAGGACGGAGAAATTCAGATGACGGAAACCTCTGTTTATATGAACTTTACGTTTGAAATATCTGACAAATCTGTATTCCAACCACCGAAGCAGTGCTATAGGAACAACGAAAGCGAAAGCCTCCTGTTTGAAGTTTTAGGAGGAATCCGAAGAGAAATTTACATCTTTTAGAATCCAAAAAGACTTTAATTTTGCAATCATTTCAATGCCACTAAAATGGAAAAAACAAATTTTATCTTAAAAAAAATTGTTGAACATTTTATGAGTAAAAGAAATAGGGAAAAAGTATTCGACTATTGTGATGTGAAGTTTTTCTGAGACCTTTAAGAAGCCACGCAATAAACTGTATGAATGTTACACCAACTGCACCCCCCCAACAAAAAAACCACCGATAATTAACTATGGTGCGCTATTGTACATAGATCTTAATAGTCCATGTTGTTCCCGCATTTATTAATAGATATGTATATGGGATCGGATATATTTTGATTACTATAATTCCTCATTCGTATTTTGGTCTTTTCTTGTAAAACAAAGAATGCCATGAATATATATTGCCAATAACATATTTTTTGTCATGACTACTCTCTCAGATAATAAAGAAATGAAATCATCCTGACCCTGTCTTTAATAATTTAGCATATTAGTGAATAAGGGTATAGTATACGTCCGCAATATATGGAATGCCACATAAACATATACATGTAGTTAGTATATTTAAAAATATTTGAACCTATCTTCAAATATTTCTATCTTTTTTTCCAAATTAATTGTAGACAGGTACAGTTGAATCAAAGATATGAGTAAATGTTTGAACCTTTCTTGCAATAAAAGAACCTAGGTTAAATTGATCGAGTTAAAATCATCTTTAACGAGGCCGAGTCTAATTAATTCTACCCTAGGTATTTTGATAATCTTTCGATAAATAATTTTTATTGTTATATTTATTATTTTAAAATTAAAAAATCGAACGTTTACCACCCCGATTTCTTAGCATTACAGATTGGTTCAGTTCAATGACAGATGTGTTTCGTTGAATTATAGTTATCTTTAAATCATTTGAAGATATGTATAATTAATTTCAAGATAGGTGCAAAGGATCTGAAGAAAGCTTCAATTCACTTATACCTTGGCTCAAATCAATTGCACCTATTGCTATCTGTAAATCAATACCTGTCGTACTTATCTTCTGCCTAAGGATGCAGTACGTACCTCATGCAAAACTACAATGTATATATAAAACTGTTTAATTTTAGAAAAAAAATATAAGTGGAATGTCGTAAGATTAATTGCATATTTATTTTAAATCTAGAGGTTTCAATAAATATGTGCTGTATTGTCACATGTTTTAACGACGAATCAAACTGTGAAAATAGGATCCATCATTCGACGCTGATCACAAAAATACTATATATTTTCTATAACGGGCTTCCATACTAATCGATAATCAAAAAGCTGATCTGTTGTCTGTATAACAAATAAACAATAATGTTTTAGAGGTATTCATGAATAAAACAAAATATACATTGCTGTTACTAAGTTTCAAATATGCTAAGTTTAAACTCTACGGAAACTTTGACGAGTTATCACCAATTCAACAACACAAAGTAAAGACCCAAAATACAGTGGACTTCAAATT